GGGGGGCGGGGGGCTGGGGGAAAGGGGAGGTTGGAGGGGTTCGCGGCAATTCGCGTCTCCTGGCTGGCGACCGGGGTCTATGGTCGTGCGGGGGGACACAGGCGGGTCTTTCCATGGAGTGCGACGACAGTCTGACGCTCAGCTGCCTCGGGTCTGGGGCAGCCCTTTCGCATCTTGAGCCTGACGAGCGCATTCGCGCTGGACGTCCCGTCAACGACATCCTCCATCGCCTTTTCTTCTCCGCTGTTGCGCCAGGTGGCGGCGGGCGTGGGCGCAGGGGTTTCCTCTCGTCGACAACTGTCGTTTGTGGCCCGGTTGTCTCCGCTTCGACATATCGTCTCTGCGTCCTGCGTCAGCAGGTGGCCACCGCCGTTTGCGCTGAGCCCTTGTCGAACAGTTGCGCCATCGTGTGCGCTTCGCCGTCGTCGAAGAACTGCGCCTCCTCGAAGAACTGTGAGCCGTCAAAGAGCAGCGTCATCGTGTGCGCTGTGCCCTCTTCAAGGTAAAGTGTTGTTCTGCCTGCCCTCGTGTCAGGCATGTTTGCCGGCCCATGGGAGCGGCCGCGTCGCGCCACCTGTTTCAAGTTGCGGGGACGGAGGGAAAGGATGTCGGTGACATTGGGCCATATGGTTTCTGTGTCCCCTTCTGATTCCCTTTCGTTCTTTCCTCTCGAGCGGTCCCGTGGTTCTTGCTTGCCATCATCATCATCATCATTGCCCCCATCATCACCATCATCGTCGCCACCACCATCAACGTCATCATTTTCATCATCATCATCATCATCACCATCATTGTCATCGTGATCATCATCATCTTCATCAACATCATCATCATCATCATCATCAACAACATCATCATCAACCTCGTCAACGTCATCAACATCGTCATCATCATCGACATCATCATCAACATCATCAACGTCATCAACAACATCATCATCATCAGCGACATCGTCGTCGTCATCAAAATCACCACCATCGTCCTCTCCGTTGTCATCGCCATCATCAACATCGTCATCATCGCCGTCATCATCGTCGTCATCATCGTCATCATCATCATCGTCGTCATCACAATCATCATCATCACGAACATCATCATCGACATCATCATCATCATCAACATCGTCATCATCGTTAGCAACATCGTCGCCCAGATCAACATCACCACTGTAATCGTCACTATCATCGTGTTCATCACCGTCGTCATCATTATCATCATGTCATGCCACGTATCGCAAGTGGCTGGGACGGCGGGAACGGATGACGGGGACATCGGGGCACATGGTTTGCATGTCCCGTTCTGCTTCTCTCTCATTCGTTCCACGCGACCGCCCCCATGACTCTTGTTTGGCTTGGCATTGAAGAAAAACTGTCGTTGATCACAAGCTGGACATTGCAAACCACTCCCGCGCGGTCAAAGCAAACACGAAATCGCCTATTCCCAGCGGAACACGAAACCCCTTCGAAACACTTCCCTCGCTCGTTTGCTGTTCTCAACAAAGAGATTAGAGGTTGGTTATCACAAAGGAGACGCATGGGCTGTGTGCGACCGCTGTTGGTACTAAGCGTCGTGTGGTGGCCACGGTGGAAAGGATGTCCGCCGTCCACGTGGCGTGCAGTGAGAGGTAAGGTATTCATAAACAGGAGGGGGTCGTCGTTCCGTGTTCGTGTTCTCGCCGCAACACTTGAGCCTCCCTCCCCGAAGAGACTATTGTGTCAATCCCGGGAGAGTTGTTGTCGTCTCCACGCGCGCACACAACGTGCACATGATCCACCATAGAGGCCATGGATGTTGAGCGTGCGCTCCTGGCGCTGGTCGTGAGGGATGCGATATCGCATTCCGCACGACAAATGCCAGGACTGTGCGCGCAACATCCGCGGGCTCCAGAACGAAGAATGCACACGTTGCGTGCGCGCGATGGAGAACGCCTGCGCCGCCCGCTGCAATGACGATGGCGTTTCTTCGGCGTGAGCGCCGCATGTTTCGTGACGACAACCTCGATACGAAAACATGTCCTCGTTCAGTAACGAACAATCCGGCCGCCTCCGGGAAACATCTCAGTCATCCGGGCAAGGGGGGTCGCCATTGTCACCGCAAGCTCGAAACCAACAACAACCAAATGAAAAACGGCGCATGGCATGTGGTTGCCTGGCGAGATGGGAAGTTCGGATCCCGACGAACTACAGCAATCATGCGTAGTGCTCTCACGAAAGCAGCAATCGGTTGCAGTCGCTCGGCCGCAGGGAGAGCACGCGCAGGTGCGAAAATAGCGCATGATTGTTGTAGTTCGTCATGATCCGAAGTTTCTATTTTTTTCGCGGTTGTTGGTTTCGCGTTCGCAGTCACAATGCCATCCCGGGTTGCCCTGATGACTACATTTTGCGGGACACAGTTCCCATCTTTCGGGCGTGGGGTCGATAGTTTATAACGCCATGCCAGTTTTCAGCGTGCGACGAAGTTCGGATCGCGGCGGACTTGCAATCTGAAGCATGCGAAGTCGCGGGCTGCTCGGATGATTATTGTTGTTTCGACTGCGTCACTGAAATAAGACGCTTACGGTTTGCATGGATCTTTTCAGAGTCCTGTTTGCATGGCTGTTCTTTCGTTGGCGTTGCCGCAAAAAAAAAAAGTCCTCCCAACGGGACACCAACAAAAACAAAGTGTTTAATGCTCCCGGTCGAACGCGGCAACCGATCTGAAGTTCGGATCCGGGCGGACTTCATGGTTGGTACCCGTACGTGGTCCCATGGACCTGGCTGTGGAACCTGCCATTGCCCGACTGCGAGCTCCCCTTGTCTGCGGTACTAATCGGGGGTCCACCAGCCGTGGTCATTTTTTTTTTGTGCTTGCAGTCATTGTCTTTAAGGATGACAACATTTGCGACTAGATCGACGCAAGTGCTCGCTTTGTCGAAGAGGAGAATCGGGGTCCATGGGGGTCTATTGGGGGCCGCGCTGCGCCAATTTCCGACGTGGTGCAGCTGCGACGACCATTTCTGTTTTGCGTGCTCTGTTGGAACAAACACTTGTGAGCAGCAGCAGGGCCTCCCTGAACATCCAGCCAAGCCTAGCGTTCCTTCTGTGCAATTCCACACCGGTCATCCAAATATCCGTCGTCCCCCGCGCAAACCGGTTCCTGGCCAGTCCAGCAAGCGCCAAGTTCGGATCCCGGCGGACTTTGAGGTCCCGCGTAAATTTAACCACCGTTTTCGACGGCCACGACTGTCGAGTGCGTTCTGATTACCAGAGGCCTCCGGGCACGCAAAAGTGCTCGCATGAGGCCTGGAGCTTCAAGTGTGAGTTGATTGCGCGATTCTGATTACCAGAGGCCTCCGGGCACGCAAAAGTGCTCGCATGAGGCCTGGAGCTTCAAGTGTGAGTTGATTGCGCGAGGACTGTGGGTGCAAAAAATTGCTCACCTTCTGAGATCCCCTTCGAGGGGTTTGTGGGGGTTGCCGACGGTGATAGCGGCCGTGTCCCTTGTCTGTGTGCCGTCGATCTTTATTGCCCCCAGAGGGTTTTGACCGTCCCGGTGTGCGGATTCCTGTCGCACACATGCTCGTGTTTCTGCGTGGTTTCCAGTTCGCGCTTTCGCACGTCGACGTTACTGGCGCGCAAATCGGGGGTCGCCTTGTCGGCTGGCCGAAACGGGGTTTGGAAGGGTTGCAGGGGGGGTCTTTCATCAGTTTCTACATTTTTCTTGTCTGCGCGGTTGGGATGTCCGATCTCGATGAACTCTTGCACTAGGGGTCAGTTTGGAGTCGTGCTGCGCCCGATTTTGTGGTGGTGCATCCACCGCTGCCCTTTGCTCTGCGCGTGCTGACGTTCAATGACAGCTCGAGAGCGGCAGAGCCTTCCTTTTGTGCGGCTAAGCATAGCATTCCTTGTGTGCACCAGCTGACGCTCCGTTCCACTGACACCGGCCGCGCAAAAACAGGTTCCTTGCTACTCCAGCACCAGCCAAAATCGGATCCCGGAGGACTTCGAGGCGCCGCATGAATCTGACCGTTGTTTTCAACGGCTTAGACTTCTCCGTCCGTCTTCAATGCCGGCGACATGGTATTGCGCAAAATTGCTCGCCTTGTAAGTTGCCCTGAAAGGGGTTTATTGGGGTTGACGACGGTGTCGCTGGCCGGGTCCATTTCCGGTGTGCCGTAGATCTTCGTTCATCGGCGCCCCAAAATGTTGTGCGCCCGAGCAACGCCTGCTTCTGTGCAAACGCCATCCACCCGTTACAAATGCAGGCGAATCCACCAAGTTCGGATGCTGGCGGACTTCGAGGATCGACGCGAATCTATCCGTCCTTTGCGTGGCGCCTGGAGCTTCGAGTGTGAGTTGATTGCGACATGATTGTGGGTGCGAGAAATTGCTCGCCCTCTGAAATGCCCTTCAAGGGGTTCATGGGGGTTGTCGAAAATAAGGGACACGGCCGTTGTTACCGCCGGCAACCCACATTAACCCCTTCGAGGGGATTTATGAAGGCGAGCAATTTTTCGCGCCCATGATCTTTGTTGCCCCCCAAGGTTTTTGACCGTCGCGGTGTGCGGAGTCTTGTCGCAGAATCGGGGGTCGCCTTCTCGACTGGCCGAATCAATGTTTGGAAGGGTTGAAGGGGGGATCTTTCATCCTTTTCTACATTTTTCTTGTCTACGCAGTGGGGATGTCCAAGTTCGATAAGCTCTTGCGCTAGTACCTGTGAATGAAAAACTGCACGAGCTCGCTTAGACGATGGTGAGAATCGAGTTTATGGGGGTCAGTTTGGGGTTGCGCTCCGCCAAATTGTGTGGTAGTGCATCCACCACTACCCTTTGTTCTGCGCGTGCTATCGTTCACCAACAACAGAGCCTTCCTTCTGTTCGCCCAAACATAGCGTTCCTTGTGTGCACCCACTGGAGCTACCTTCCACTGACACAAGCCGCGCGAAAACAGGTTCCTTGCTACTCCTGCACCCGCCAAATTCGGATCCCGGCGAACTTAGAGGCTCCCCGTAAATCTGACCGTTATTTTCAACAGCTTGGACTGCCCAGGCCGCCGGCCCAGTCCGTCTTCAATGCCGGCGGCCTGGTAGTGCGAAAAAGTGCTCGCCTTGTGAGTTGCCCTCAAAGGGGTTTATTAGGGTTGACGACGGTGTCACTGGCTGGGTGCATTTTCGATGTGCCGTGGATCTTCGTTCATCACCGCCCCGAAATGCGGTGCGGCCGAGCATCGCCTGCTTCTGTGCAAACGCCATCCACCCGTTCCAATACCTGCAGCCGTACGAAAACCTGTTACTCGCTGCAGGCAAATCCGCCAAGTTCGGATCCAAGCGGACTTTGAGGATCGGCGCAAATCTATCCGTCCTTCACATGGCGCCTAGAGCTTCAAATGTGAGTTGATTGCGAGAGGACTGCAGGTGCGAGAAATTGCTCGCCTCTGAAATGCCCTTGAAGGGGTTCATGGGGGTTGCCGAAAGTAAGGGACACGACCGTTGTCACCGTCGGCAACCCCCATAAACCCCTTCAAGGGCATTTCAGAAGGCGAGCAATTTTTCGCACCCACGATCTTTTCTGCCCCCCAAGGGTTTTGACCGTCGCGGTGTGCGGAGTCTTGACACAGACATGCTTGTGTTTCTGAGTGCTGTCCGGTTCGCGCTGTCGCACGTCGACGTTCCCGGCACGCAAATCGGGGGTCGCTATTGCACTAGTGCCAGCGAATGGAGCACCGCACGAGCTCGCTTAGAAGATGGTGAGAATCGGTGTTTATAGGGGTCTGTTTGGGGTCGCGCTACGCCGAATTATGTGGTGGTGCATCCACCACTACCCTTTGTTCTGCGCGTGCTATCGTTCACCGACAACAGAGCCTTCCTTCTGTTCGCCCAAGCATAGCGTTCCTTGTGTGCACCCACTGGCGCTACCTTCCACTGACATAAGCCATGCGAAAACAGGTTCCTTGCTACTCCTGCACCCGCCAAATTCGGATCCCGACGAACTTTGTGCCCTCAACGCATAAATCTGACCGTGCTTACACTTGGCTCCGCTGTTTTGCAGGGTGTGGACACGAATTCGAATGACCCGTTCGACCCGCACAAAAAAGAATAATCCATTGCGCTGACGGGAATCGCATCCGCTGCACCGACGGTTGCATGACGACGCCGAAGAAGGCTCGGCGAACGGCCGCATGAACCAGGCTATGGAAACTGAACAAGCCGTCGACTTGCATTGCCAGCTACAACACCTGGAGTTGGCCCCGACGACCTCTTCGGACAGTTCGCCGTTCCAACAGTCAGCTGCGGATTTCCCCAGAAAACGAAATCTCGCTTTTCGTGAGAGCTTTGGAGGTTGCATCCAACTGCCTACAGAATTGGCAACAACGTCCGCGATCGAAGAACCGTCTACCTCCTGGATAGAGTTCCACATTCCTGGCGAGGTGCACCCCACAGCTTCGGCGTAGAGCAGTTGCGTGCCAATGGGTGTTTCTTACGCATCGTTTGATGACGAGAGTGAGCGGTTGGTGGCCACTGATTACTCGTCTGGACAACGGTCCTATTCCAGTGGACCTTTGCTTCGCATTAGCTCCAGTACTATGAACTTGGTTGCCACCGACTATTCTTCGGAGGAGCTTTCCACAACACGGGCGAGTCCAACGCATATGCGAAGTGATGATGCGATTCCAAGTCAGAGCGAGTCTAGGTCGGAATCGTCTGGCAGGGGTGATGCAGAGAGAAGGGCGATACTGCAGATTTTGTCCGCACCTCTGCCAGGCGAAAGACGAAGGAATAACATGGCTAATAGGAACGCTAGGAGGAAAGAACAGTATAAAAGAGCGAGAAACATGTTGTCCGGAAAAAAACTGCTCATGGTGCGCGGCATGGCATGTTGCAAGGCTCGATGTTGTTACGACGTGTCGCCTGAGGAAGTGCGAAAGGTTAGACAAGGACTGTACAGTAAGAGTCCGGGAGACCAAGCTAAGTGGTGGATGAAAAGTATTAAGGATTTCACAGTAAATGAGAGTGGACAGAAACGTGTCCGCCCTGTGGAGTTGGAACGTTCAATGTGCATCAGGCGTACTGCAATGTACTCGGTGTCTCGCGTAATACATTTTACAGCTACAAAAAACGTTTCGACAATGGCTACGTGCGTTCCGAGCATGGCCTGACGGAAAAATATATGCCAACCAATAAAACGGTCGCCATGCTTGCTAGCATGAGAACATTCATCGAGTGTCATGCGGATAGCATCCCGAATGAGGTGGCTAACCAAGGTGGGGTTTCCAAACCGAAGCTTCGACTCCCGACTGCTTTCACGAAGATATCAATTTATGAGTCCATCAAATCCGACTTTCTGGTCGCTGGCCTCGATGTCGTGTCTGAGTCCAACTTTTATAAGTTGTGGTGGAAACACTTTTTCCACGTTTCCCTAGCGCAATCTAACACGTTCACAAAGTGCGCCGTCTGTCATGAACTGAAGGAACGTATATAATATGTTGCTCTTCCTCGAGATCGAGAACGTGTTCGAGAGGATATGAAAGCACACCAAAGGAGGCAAGTAAAACACAGATTGGACTACAGTCGGGCGAAAACTGATTCCATGGTTCGTCCGAACGAGCGTTTGTGTCTCATCATTAACGGCATGGATCAGAAGAAAACAACTATCCCCCATATTGGTCAAGCGAACTACTCGAAAGCACATAGGCACGAGATGATGATGAAGACTAATCTGACAGGCGTCATTGCACACGGGAGAGACCCTAGTATATATGTGTACACGTGGTTTCCATATTTTAAGCACGATTCCAACACGGTCGCTACTTGTGTTATGAGAACCCTTGTCGAAATTCAAGGTAGCAGGACTCCACTGCCACGATTTTTGAGCATTCAAGCAGATAATTGTTGGCGGGAAAACAAGAATAAGTACATATGTGCCATGGCTGCACTGTTCGTTAAATTCAAAGTTTTTGAAGAGGTAGAAATAGGTTTCATGCTGGTGGGACACACCCATACAGACGTTGACGCTACTTTCAGCGTTTTCTCGAAGAAATTGAAAGACGTAGACGCTTATACTATGGACGAGTTTTTCGAACTCATAAAGCAATCCCACAAAAAGTCTCCCAAATGTATTTTCCTCGATACGATCGAAGATTGGATTAGTATAGTGGACCCGTGCGTTGCGTCAGACATTACCGGTATCTCAAAACCGCACTTGCTTAAATTTGTGATGGTTAGAGATAGTCCGGGCATGTTGTACAAGGAGTTTTGCAATGATGAAGAATGGTTGCCCGAGGAAGATCCGATTTTTTTGTTCAATCAAAACCCCGATGAAAGCTATGCTAGTCCTTCGTAGCCGTTTGACCCGCCTCATGTGCAACACCTTCCTCGAAATGACTATTTGAATGGCAAAAATGGTGTTGTTCGATTCCGCGAGTTGCTGGAGAGTAGGCGGTCGACGTGGTGCACTTACAATGACCATGAGGTGAGTAGGAGAGAAACAACTTTCTGTTATTGGGAGGAGGTTATCAAACATGGCGAGGAGATCATCGCCAATGGGTTGTCCTCACAACCCCAGGGAAGTTTTTGGTCACAACCACGACTGTTCGAAATCGATCAACAACCTTCTCCTCACAGTGTCAACATCGACGATGACAGGGAACCGCTGTTTGTTGGACGAAGAAAAAATTGCCCGAAGACTAGTTTCGACCCCCTCGTGCATGTCGACGTGGGCACTTTYCTTATCCTTCGCCCCTCCGACGATGATCTGTCCAGCGGTGTGCCAATCTGGGTGGGCAAAGCTCTTTCTCGGGTGGTTGTTGATTGTAATTCGCAAAATTATAATCAAGTACTAGTGGAATATTGGGTGCCGACTGGGAGAGCAAAGTCGCTCGAACAACTGTATGAGAACGCATGGGAAAAACGATGGAAAATGACTAACCAGACACAATGGCAGGATGCTGACTCGATCGCTTTTGGTTGGGAGAGACCGGTCCGTGGTACAAGACCATTTCATAACTGGACTTGTCATTCCTTCCAGTGTTCGACTGAATGTTGAAGCTGCA